GGGGGGGGGGGGGGGGGGGGTTAAGATCAATTAACTTTTTGGAATCATAGGTTAAGTCTGAACCAAAGTTAGGTATAACAACATATTTAAACAAAAAAAAAAGTAATTATTTGACATTCAATACAAAATACTCTCTATACACTTTGAAAATTATTATGAATTTCGAATGAATAAAAATATCAAGAAATAGATCATAAAGCGTCACTTTGCTACGCAAAACCATCAGATTTAAAATCAAAATCAGTTAAATTTTTAGTTTACATTTATATATTTAACCACAACACATGATGTTAAACTTGGAAGCAAGAACATTTTCAAAATATAATTTAAAATAATTTTCCATTGGTCAAAATAATTTTAAAGGAAAATGACTAATTTAATGAACTATGTAAAAAAAAAAAAAACTAAAACATTGACTGAATGTAAGCAATAAAAAGCTCTCTAAAACCGGAAGAAATTTAGAAAACTTCCGGTGTATCCCTCCGCTTAAGTTATGCTTACGAGGCGATGAGTGAACAGGCCTAATATTCTAGGAAGTTTTACTATTGTGATTTTTTTAATGAAATTTAAGTGAAACTTTACCATTTATATAGAGTCATAGTCATTTAGCTATTTAGGTTCTATTGTAGATAAAAAAAGGTGGAAGTAGTGAANTTATGAGTTTAGAATTAATAAAAATATTAAGAAATAGATCACAAAACGTCATTTTGCTACGAAAAAACATCAAATTTAAAATCAAAATGAGTTAACATTTTTAGTTTACATTTAACCACAGCACAAAGATAAACCATCCATTTTGAATGTTTTTGCATAATTTAAAAAAACTTTAACCAAACTTAGAAATAAAATAAATCATTTCTGCAACAGCCAGTTATCAACCGAAGGATCAAGAAGGTTAAGGCACTACTATTTTGTAATCAACGAACATTCTGATTTCTTTTACTAGCCAGATAATCCAGCCGTCGATCTGAAAAAGAGTGAGCTGCCAAGAATAGAATCCACCCTAGTCCTACACAATGACAGCTCAAAGCCTTAAACACTGTAAATGAAGTTATAATGTTAATCATTGTATTACCTTCAGTGCAACGTGGTCCCATCCATCCAGGTGGACAAAGACAAACACCATCACTTCTTCTGCAGTGTCCGCCACGTAAGCAGCTGCAATTTTCTTTACAAAGAATACCAAATGTTCCATTTGGACAAGCTTTAAAAAATTACAATTAATTAAAAATTCAGAAAGATTAGCATATAAAAAATGTATTAATAAATAAATTTTTTTGAAAGTTATATATATAATGGCAAAATAAAAGTTCTATGTTCAATAAATTATGTTTTACAGAAACAAATTAAATAATTTTTATGAAAAAGTCGCACGTCACATCAATAATGCATGCTTTAGAAAATGACACTTGATGTTGCAATTAATTATGTCTGACACCAAAACAAGCAGGGAGTGCAGAAAAAAAGAAGAATCAGCACTTATACAGTTTGAGACAATAGATCCTATATATAAGGAAGTAAATAACTGTAGTTTGATTTTTAAACTAAAAAATTTAACAAGATTCATCTAAATTCTTAAATTAGTACTTTTCTCTCTCTTTTTTTTTCAAAAATTTCTAGGTAGTTTAGAGTTTCAATTTACCTTAAAATTTTGAGCATTGCTGATATAAATTTGTTATGTCTTGTGAAATTTTTCAGAGAAGATCGTACTTTTATTATCTCAAAATTAAATAAAGTTCTTAGCAACTCTATCAATTCATTAATTGGCGTTTTAAGTGTTGTGTAACATGTTCACTAGTTACTAAATTTGTAATAAAATGTCTAAAAGGTAACTGTCTAAATGTCTGATTATCATCGAGTAACTCAACACTTTTTATACAAAAAAATATCAAAGCAGTTTTTAAACTAATAAAATGTAAGTAACAGTGAGTAGAGAATAGCTGATGAGCTATCAAGCAAAGCATGCAGTTTAGTATAGCTGAAATAGCATCCCTGAATATCCCATAGATTGCGCTTTTGAGTGGTCGTCATCTTTTAAAAGACAAAAATCAGAAACAAAATTCTCTGTATTTTCCCAGTTTGCTAAGACAAAAATCAAAATTTCCAGTAATTTTAGATGATTTTTAAATTCCCCATATTTTCCAGATTTTTTCCTATTCTCCCTGTGGAGTGTCAACCCTGAGTTAATGCAATTTCAGTATAAATTTTAATTTTTGTATGTCATTCTTTTTGTATATTAAGCCAGCTATTAGCATCACAAGCTGCAAGTGAAACAATTAAAATAATGCTGATTGTAATAGTAAAACTGGTGACATCAGCCAGCTGTATCAGAACAAAAGACCGTATGTAAACGAGATCATGAAATAAAACCAGGGTGACACAATTTTTAATTACGCAAACCTTTTCATGGTACAGAAGGGATGTCACATGAATTATCGAAATTCTTCATTTAGTCAATAATAAAATTCTTAAACAGATACTTACGTAAGCTGCAGTCATCTCCTTTCCACCCAGATCGACACAAGCATTCACCAGTGGCTGGATTACACTCTCCGTAATTTTTGCATTTGCACAGTAATTGACACTGAGGACCATAATGACCAGTAGGGCATGCTGTTAAATTACAGGACACATTAAGAGTAATCAGTAAGGATGGTGCAAAATTGAGAAGAAAAAAAGTTAAATCTGTTAATAAGTACAATAATATGAAGGATGCAGGATGTTAAAAGCAAGTTTTTATGATTTCAAATGTTATCATAAAACTATTTGTACACTTTAAGATAGAAAATCATGGAAGTTTTATCATGAAAATACAATACATTCTAAAGAATATTTTCTCAAATTACTTAAAAACATTGCTTAAAACTTTTAGAAAATGATCGATTTTTGAATACCATCTGAGTATCAAAAAAGCAAAAAAAGTATCAACTATTATAACATATTCTGTATAAATATGATTAAGCAAAGAATCAGGCGGAGCAAGCTTTTAGAAATGGGGAGAGAAATAGTACTTTTATATAAACAATTATTTCATTATTATCAATAAAAATACAGCCACCCTTAAAATTAGCTAATTTTCTGCTTTTTGTTGTTGTTAGCTTGTTTGTTGGAGCTATATTTTAACCTCGTCAGAAAAATCTGAAATTGAGGAATTTCAATCGAAACCCATGAGTGAAACCTGATTTTTATTATTTAAATTTCTTTTATTAAGTTTTTAAACAAAAACAAAAACAGGTGAAGTGCTTTGAATTTTTTATCTATTTTTGTAAATAAACAGAAAAAATAAATAAAATTCAAGGAAATCAGTAAAAATAGTGGTTTATGTCAGACTTTATATGGTAATTTCTAAAAAAAAAAAGAAGATACATTTAATAAATATGATATCCACAAGTGAAAAAAATCAACATTGTTAGATAAAAGAGAATTCCCATCAAACCCTAATTGAGAATCTATCGAAATTGTAGTGCTGAGAAGAAAAACTGAATGGGAGGTTTTTAAACAAGTCGCAGCAATATCGCTTTATTGCAGTAAAACATGTAAGATCTAGCAGAAAATCATGAAGGGAAACAAAATAATGTATTATATTTAGAAGAAGTTTTAAACAAGATTAAAATTTTCCCCAATGAACTTCAAAATCAAATGTAAAATTCAGAGTTGGCAAGTTTTAGGATATAATGGATTAATCTATGGTTTAAACCATCTTGTCCAAAACACTTTAAGTCAAATTATGCCACAATTTTTAAAAAAATATTGTGAAAAGTAAAAGGTTAATTATGGAACAAGAAACAAAATGAAGACAAATTTTTGCTTCATTAAAAAAGTTATTATTTTCAATATTACATTATTTATCCTTATGCAAAAACATAATTTATCAGAATTAAAAGCATATTTATTCATATTTAAAGGATAAGTTATTCACTTTTGTTGTTCAATGAATTGTGGAGCTTCAAACATTATAAATCTTTTCCTATTAAATAATTTTCCTTTAATAAGTTAAAGCAAATTGCATAAAAAGTATCAAATATTTATTAATATTTGTAATTATGTGTACAATAGTTACACATACAGAATTTTTACATTTTACCAATGTTCAAGATTTTGGACACTGAGACAATTTTAGTCAGTTCAAGACAGTAAAAGCCATGTGTCTTGTCTGAAACTAGTTCAGGACGCCCAAAACCCCAACCCTGGTAAAATTCTGAAATGTAATAAATGTAAGATGCTCATATGTCGGAAATATTATAATTTTTAATATATAGAGATACTAAAAAGATTTATTTTATTGTAAATTAAGAATCATGATATACTACTCACTTTCACTGCAGCTAAGTCCAGTAAAACCAGGATTACAGTGACACTGGCCTGTTATATGGTGACAAGTGCCATTACTGTTCGAGCACGTAGGACACTTTTCAGAACAATTATACCCATAGTAACCATGGGAACACACTATTGAAAAAATAATCACATATAGTAAAGGTTAAAAGAAACAATTATGCTTATAAAATGTGAAATTTTTTAAATAAATAGAAAAGATTATCACTCACTTTGATCACAGTTGTTACCAGTCCAGCCTCTTTCACAACTGCAAAGACCAGTAGTTATATCACAGGAGGAATTATTTTTACAGTCACAGAAATTTGAACAGTCGGATCCCCATTGGCCTCTGTCGCATTGACTGTTACATCTTATACCTGTGTGAAATATACAAATTTTTACACATTTACATAAGTGATTTCAAATGAATTTAAAATACAATAATTATTTATTTGAGCAGCTGCCAATGTAAAATAGAAAGAATACATACAACAGGATTTTACAATAAATTATTAAACATTTAATGCAAACTATTGCAAATCATGTAAAGTATAAAAACTTCATGAATTATTTTAAAAGGGAGAAGTAAATAAAAAAAGGAAATAAAAAAAAGTACATCACATTAATTACTATAACATTGAGCTGAATACAATATTTTACTTTTGTGATGAGCATTAAAACATATTTGAATATAAAAACTTTTAATTTGATTCATTATAATTTTAACTTGGCAATTCATTATAAAAATTTAATTCACAACAGCTAAATTCATTTTAGATAATTGTAAAAAACATTTGAATAACATAAGTTTTAAAAAAAATCAGTATAACAAAAATGAAACAATTATGAACTAATTTCGAAAGAGAATTAAATTTAAAACCTAGCAATTTTTTTTTTAACAATGAGTTTCAAATTACTTTAAATGATCACTATTTATTACGGAATTAACTTTGAATTTGATTCACGCTTCATTATTTACTCATTTTACTGATTAAATTTGAAAAGAAAACAACAAGCAGAGTAGGAAAAAAATTACAAAGAATTTTTCAGAAACTTTTATAATTTTAAGAAAATTACCATAATATATGAAAATTCTAATTTTTAATTAAACCAGGAGACATTTGAAAAATCAAATATATTAGTAAGTTATGGTTTTGTATTTCAAGAGAGTATTTAAGAAACTAAAAACAACTTTTATCATAGTAGTAAAATTGTATATAATTACAACAAAGATCTTCAATACAACAAACAATCCTGATAACAATAGTAGGAATTAAACGAAAATTTATTTCCTAAATAAATCAGTAAATATTTCAATTGATTTCTTTTGAAAGTTTACAAATTTCTTCACAATCTGATAATTGAAAAAGTTCATTATAAATCACTAAATTATACTTCATTACAATAAATAATAAATGCTAATCTTAAAAAAAGTAAATATTTAGTGTATTATTAAAATTAGTAATTGCAAAATAGAGCAAAAAGATACAAACCTTTCCACCCTTCTTGACAATGGCATTTTCCAGTCACATGATCACAACTATCTGCATGAGCCCAGTCACAATCACAAGTTTGAGTGCAATTGATCCCATATGTGCTGTGCTATAATTAAAAAAAAAAAAATTGAAATATGGTTATTAATACAGTATAACCTTAATTGTTACAGGTTATAAGTTTATTTAGAATATATCAATAGCCTATAGAGAACAGCCCATGCTTTAGACAGGAAAATAGAAGATTATCATTGCTTAAAACCAATAAGCAAGCTATAAAATGAGAGCAAGAAACTTAAAAGCATTCAAGTCTTGAAGTATTAAACAATTTTACTGAATAACATTTTATGTCAAGTAACTTGAGCTCATTTATGTAATATATAGAAATTCATTATACTTATTCCCAAGCAAAGTAAATGTTTTTACCATATTATAACATATTTTGAGAAACAAATATGCATATTTTTTAAATTTAGACAAAAATAATATCTAGCTAATAGATTCATTCAGCTGTATCTTATACATATTTTCAGAAACCAGTTATAACATGAATAATTTTCCTTAAAAAGTACATATTTAGAGCATTGATCATAATTTTTTTATTTATTAGAAGCTTAAAGTAAAATTCATATACTGCTCAATTTTCATAACTAGTTTTTCTTCAAACAATAACATTAATTTGAGACATAAACCAATAAAAAAAAATGCTATCCCATTTTTTTGTATACAGTACATTAAATCCAAAAATATGCATAAAATAAAGGATATTTCAATGCATTTTTACAAAAATATGTACTATAATAATATTACTTTTTTAATTCATATTTATTAGATATGCCACAGCAGTTTTGGAGGAAAAAAAAGCTGAACCTTTTGTGGAACCAAAATTTCAGAAACAGGTTTTCAAAATTACAAATTAAAGAAATTATTTTAAATAAAATATAAACGCAATAAAAAAAATTTATAAACATTTTATTTCACTTTAAAATACGGTTCTTTTGTTAGTTGTTTCAAAATGCCATAACTTTTTAAAATCTCAAATCAGGCTGCCTACCTCAAAACAAACTTGTTTGTCAATTTCCTGAACTATCTACATTTTCTAAATTTTATGCTACAAAAATCATATATTTCTCATTAGATTAAAGCTATAAATATTTAGTTCTAATATATGTAGAAAAATGGATCAATAAACTAAATTTTTCAAGCCTGTAATATTTTAAATGTATCAAATTTATTTAAAACAAGTACAAGAACTTGCTTCTTTATGTACCTTGCATTTCTGCCCACAATTTTCTCCAGAGTAGCCAGCAGTGCAACTACATTCCCCAGTAACGGGATCACAAGCTCCTCCGTTCTGACATTGACATTTACTTTGGCATTGTAAGCCATACATTCCGAGAGGACACGGAAGATTACAACTGATACCATTCCAACCTGTTAACAAATATAAAAATTATAAAAGCTATAAAATGAGAGTAAACAATTTTAAAGACTTTTAAATATATCTGCAAAACTGAATTTATATTTGCAGGCCACAAATGTCACTTAATTCTGAATAGCAAGAAATGAAGTAAACGATCCAATTATTTAAAAATCAGGTAAAATTATGGTTTATAAACAATGATTGTAATTATAATTAAAATCAAAACAAATATTATAATTGAATTCAAAGCAAATAGAAACTATTTGTTAATCTTCTGGTAGGGTACACCAGTACCCGGTAATATAATACGTGGTCCTGTTTGAATATTATGGGTTAATATTAAGGGGAGATATAGGGCCATGTTGTAATAGGGAATATTTACTTTGAATTTCCTAATTTTAGCGCTATTCAACACAGTATTATATGTATATTAACCTAGAGGGCCACATTGTGTGCCCCCTATTAGGCCTATAATTATTTCTTCTGGTATTATTCTGGCCAATATTAACTCCCTAATTTGTGCGCTTGAGTTAATTCGCGCACGCTAAACAGGCCAAACTGTGCAAACTCCAGATAATTCCAGCAGCATTGTATTTTATGCTGCTATAATTTTTCACACTCTAATATAATCGAGAATTGAAAATAACAATGTGAAAGCTAAGAAAAAAAAATCGTTTTATTGATATTTATCATTTAACTATAACACTTATTTATTCAAGAATAAAATATAGCCCTTTTTCATGGAACTAAAGTGCAGTATATCAAAATTGTCCACCAAAAGAAAAGTTGAACCAGGAGCGGAATCGATTTCTTTGGCCGGTTTTTTTTCAAAAAATCTGTGCGTTGAGGGATGTTGTAATGCAGAATATTGACATCACAATAATTGAACAAATAGATAACAGTTTAGTTATTTGTAACGACTGCTCAGAAACCTTACCAGGCTTGCAATTACAATAGCCAGAAGTATGGGTGCATGCGGCTCCATTCTCACAGGTACAATTATTTGCACAATTCTTTCCATATTTTCCCACAAGGCATTTGTCTTCACAACTAGAGAAAATATAATTATTAAATTAACGAAAAAGATTTTAGACAGACCTGAAAATTCTTTTCTTGCAATATATGTATAGTTAAACTGGCATAGCCCTGATGATTTGATCTTCAACATTATTAATGTTTACAATGAAACTATGACGAATTTCGTTTTAATCTTTTGGATTATGATTCTTGAAACAGTGAAGAACATAATTAGATGGAAAAAAATCGATTCTTTCGACCTACCCAGGTGTATATGCCCCCTTAAATAATTTTTTAAATATTTTATTTCTTTTATAAACTATTAAAAAAATTATTATTTTTTCTCAATTTGGGGGAGGGGGGGGGTCATGACCCCTATGACCCTCCCGCTGGATCCGCCACTGTATGTGACACAGGTTAGTTGAAGAAGGCAAAAATCTCCTTTCTAGGCGCTTAAAGTCAAGAAAAGTAAAATCCCACCCGAAAATCCCTTTTTCAATCCCTTAAAGTCTTAAAACAAGTAAAGTTTCTACTCATAAAGGGGATTTTAATGCAAAAATAAAAGGTCTGTATAGTTTAATAACTCTTACTTCTTTCCAATATAACCAGGCTCACAAATACAAGTTCCATTAATAGGATCACAGAGGGCACCATTCAAGCAATCACATGACTGTTCACATCCAATACCATAAGTGAGTGCGGGACATGGACGGTTGCAGTAATCTCCTGACCAGCCAGGTAAGCACTTACAGCGACCAGTCCATGGGTGGCACCTAAACAGACAAGCACCACAAGTTAGAAGAAAGTCAGTCAGCCAATATTAAAAAAGAATAATATATACAGTGGTAATAGTTTGTATACTTAAAATATTATGATGAAAAAATCTCATATAAAATAATTTATCTATTAATAAATAATTTTTAGCGACCAATGAATTTTAATGATCGTACAAACATACAAAATCATCATCAAAAAATTATTTTCGCGGAGAAAAATTCTTTAGAGATTACCTTAATCTTTCAATTAGATTTAAAGATTATCTTAATCCTTCAATTTTCTAGTCACATTAGGAAAATCTCAGTAAAAATAATCTCTTCCAAACAATATACTGTTAAATATTATATGCTGATAATGTAGGAATATTTATATACTATTATAAACTGCTCAATATTTCCGCAGTCCTGTGCAGGAATGCCCCTACAGGAGATCAGTGCTAAGAGGTGGCCTCTAGTCAGAGTTATAAACAAACTACTTACACAAAAAAACTCCAAACAGTATCAAACGAGAAAAAAAGTAAAAAATGCATCATTACAAACAAGATGACCAAAATGAACAGTTAATTTATCCACAATTTTGCGATCAAAATTCTAATAGTTATGTGATTATAACCAGATAATTAAAAAAATAAAATAAAAAATCAAGTTATTCGCAGCTGTATTTTTCTTTTTAAAACATATCCTGTCTTTTTTTTTTTATTCTTTTGCAAATATAATATGAATAACTTTAAGTTTAATAATTGACCCCACGTAACCGAATATTTTTCTCCAGATAACTAATAATGACAATAGTTTTATACTGCACTTCATCATCATTATTGAGAGCAAAAGTTTGAATTCTGTGAAAATTTTCTAGAATATCAAAATAAGTTTTTATTTTACAGTTACCCTCATCCATTTCAGTGACATTCTGCTTCCTTTTCTGCAATGCTGTCACTTATTTCTGCTTTGTTTTCTATTGCTTTGTACGTAAAAAAACATCTAATCACTCAGGTGCATAATTTAAATTCTAACTCACATAAATATCGATTCTAAATGTTGTTTAGAAATCATTGTTCAGAGCTTCCCCATAATGTAAAACCATTTAGCACCATAATCATATAGTCGTTCTTAGAGGTTGCTGTTGTTTAGAGACGGCGGTCAATGATGGTTTTACGTTATTATTTTTAGAAAAGGGCAGAGCAGATTCCACCCACAAGTCACTTTTGAAATGTAAATTCAGTAATCTTCTAAATGTTATTTTCACTAATAATTTAATTTTAACAAAAATGTTACTCACATTTCAGTATTATCATGCTTGCATTGACAAATCTGATCACAATGTGATCCAAAGTATTCAGATGGACACACTATAAGAAAAAAAAAACAGCATTTTAAAAATCAGAATGACAAAAAATGATAATGCGTATGTATTTATAGATTAAATATTAAAACGTGTAGAGTAGTCTTTTATTATATTACAAATTCATATAGATTGTATTTTTTTGTCTTGAAAAAACAATAGCAATTGATCATTAAAGTTCAAAAGATAAAAAAACAAGATTTTTTTTTATAAGGAACAACATATGATTTCATGCTTTCTAGCTATTCATCAATATTTACATTTAAGAATTTTTCTCATATCATGACAACTAAAATTAAATTACAATTCTTAGGGGTGGCAATAAGCACTGAAACCCACTGATCCTTTTGTATACATACAGTGAAACCTCCTGTTATGTTACTGTCCTGCTATATTATGGATACTCCTGTAAAACGGACGCCTCTCAATAGGGACATATTTTTAATTCCCCAGGAATCCTCTATGAATTAACCATTATGTATATTCTCCGCAAAGCAGACACTCCCGTAACCAGACGCGGACACTCATTTTTGCCTTGTTTTTCTATCTCTTCAAACCGGACACTACTTTTTCTGAATTTGAAGAAAAAAGAATTATTTCTGCTTTAAATTGCAAGAAAAAAATGCAACTTTTCACCTATTTTAAAGCATGTAAATTTTTTGCCTTATCAATAGCAGAAAATATTGTTAAGCTATTTTACTACTAAAGAATCAATCTTTCTCCTGTCTCCTTGCCTTATTTTTACAAAGAAAGGAGAAAAAATGATACTGCTCTTGAGAAATAATTCAGACAACCACATTTTTTGATCTTTTCTTTTGGACGACACATGCTATGAGACCCCTCAAGTTGAAGAAGTTTTAAATGCTCTCAATGCTTCTTCCCCACTAAAAATTTCTTTCATTTTCTTATCAATTTGAAAGACTGCATTTAACTACGCTGGGGTAATAAAAAAAGAGAACAGAAGTATAATATTTGATGTGTTCATATAAATTAAACTTTTATTTAGACACTTTTTAGCTGATCGATTGTGAATAATCAACTCCATAATTCCTCATGACTTACAGGTATGTATTGCTTTTTTTTCTGTGAATCGTGGAAGGTTTACTTTCAAGAAGGTATTATCCACATTTCCTATCAAGTGATAGGTAGGTGTTAGGGGACCTAATAATGGAAACCGACTGAGGACTAAAAGCTCCCACTCAGTATCATTTGTCTAACTTGAATATCTGTGCTAACAGGAAAATTATATTCATTTATCTGTAGTTACATCTAGAATTACGTATTTATATCAAGCTTTTTAATATATTCTTTTTTATCAAAAAAATATTTTTTACGGTTTAAATAAATATTGTTGTAGATTATTTAATTATTTTTATATCTTTGAAAAAATACTAAAAACAATGTAAGGTGTTAAACTTCGTTATTTGGGTACCCTATCCTTAAACGGACAACTCTCACAAACGGACAATTTTTTCGGTCCCAAGAATGTCTACTTAACCAAGGTTTCGCTATATATATAAGCACTAAAAACAAATTTTTGAAAGATATAAAGATAATTCACAATTATTACACAATAAACACAACTGATTTACGATAAACCTTTTTTGTTGCATCGATTATAAAGAAACATTGCATTTTTGATGGCCCCTAAATAAATGCAATATAAGGATTAAAAATCAAGGATGCAAGAATTAAAAAAAGGAAAGATTAAAGAATAAAAATGCATGAATTACATTTGTATTTCTAAAATTTTAAGTTTTGTTATCAAGATTTAATTTAATCAATAATGTATTAACCCTCGTTAGAAACAACCTTTTCATGCCAGATCGACAAAAATGAATTGGTTTTTAAGACTAACGAATATTTAAAGCGCCTAAACGACATTAATTTCCGGACCCCCGGATATAGCTACTATATATAACTATAATATAAGACTACTCACTTCTGCTTTCGCAATGTTCACCAGTAAATCCAGCAAGACAAAGACATGTACCATCTACTGGATCACAATGAGCTCCATTATCACAGCTACAATTCTAGAATGAGTAAAAAAATGTTTACTATTAACTACATTTGACAATATTGCTCACACTAGGCAAGAAAAAGAAAGATCTTTTTCAGAAGATATCTGTAAAAAAATAAAATGTTGCTTTCAGAAACGGCAATGAATTTCAATCTCTTATCAATTGATTATAATTCAATTATTCCATAATGTAAAAAGATCAATTGCAAATTGTCTTAAATAAATGATTAAGTAAATGCATAATATTTTGAATGGAAAAAATATAAGTTTTGGACACTTTCGTCTCGTTATTAAAAAAAAATTAAAGTATGTTAAGTTTGTTACCAGCTTTCTTTGAGAAAAAAAATAATTTCATTATTTTTTTTACAAAGAAAACACATACCTTATACTTTTGAACTACTATTTTTTCAAACATAAAGGCAAATTTTCCGTAAAGCATAACGTCGAAAAAATTAAATCTTTTGGATTAACAGTACCTTAACTCTTTGAAACTTTTAAGTTTGAATTTCAGCATTTTTCAAAGTTTGTTGAAATAAATTTGAGAAACAGTTATAAAATTTCACTAGTTAAGTGGCTTTTTCCTATTCATTTTCAGTTGAAAAAGAGTGGGCTGGATTTGTCACCATGTTCACAGATTGTGCCCCCAAGTTTTGGGTATTAATATAATCAATATTATTGTGTCAACAATCTATATAATTTAGTACAGAGCAGTGATGGCTTAAAGGATAGAGCATTCGCCTTCCAATGAGGTGAACCAGGTTTGAATCCAAGCGATAGCTTGTCAGTACGAATTCTGCACCTGGCTTGCACCAATCACAGTGCTGATGTAAAATATCCTCAGTGGTAACCGAACCATGGGTTCGAGTCCCTTTGCCATCAGGCTAACCGTGGGAGGTTTTCCTGTCCATGTAAAGCAAATGCCGATTAATCAAAAAGTTTTCCCTCGAAGGCAAATTTCTCCACAGTACTTGATCCAGGAGTTCCTTTGTCATCTGGATTGGGTTCAAAATTACAAGGCTACAGAGTTGAACATTAGTAGTCGTATACCCAAAAATAGGACGGCCGTTCAAAAATTTTAAAGTAAAATTTAGTTCACTACAACTTTTTAAAAGTAATGTAGAGTTTAATTTTATAATAGCCAGAATTAGGGTAACTACAATACACTAAGTTGTACAAAGTCATACTTTCAACTCATCGATATAATTACAAAAAAATATTAACTAGGATAAGACTCTTACATTTACACAATTCAATCCCCATGTACCAATAGGGCATTCGTCTTGGCATCGGTCACCACGATATCCTGATGAACAGGTACACTTTCCGGTTAAATGGTTGCACGAGGCTCCATTGTAGCAGGAACATTTCTCAGAACAATTTCTACCATAATAACCAGGAGAACAAGGATTGGCACACACAGCTCCCTGGCAATATAAATTTAAATTAATATACAAAGGAGAACTTAAAAAAAGTATGCAATCAATTAAAAAAAAAATTTTTATAAATTTTTTTTCTTCTTAAATTCAAGTAGTTTATAGATCATAAAATTAAAAAAAATATATAAGGCAATGTTTATTGTCGAGTAATCTTTTGATTAACATTAATTTAAATATAATTAACCTGTAGGGTAGGTTTATGAGTTAAATTTATTTTTCTTTCAAACATTAAGATTACATGTTCAAAACAAGTTATATATTGCTAGTTATTAATTGCTGCATATCACAACATTAGTATGACTTCTGTTCAAAAATTTCTAGTATCATTAATAAATAAATTAATATTAATTTCTTAAAAATTGATACTTTACATTTTCTTAATTAATCATACTTGATACTTGTATAAAATAAAAATGTCACAGAAAACTTTTAATTTTAAAAAAACAATTTTGCAACATTTCATGTAAATAAATTTTTTTGATGTAATTTTGGAAAATTTCAACTTTTAAGTATCTCTTTCATGTTGCTATATAAAACAATTTTTGGAGAAAATTTTAATACAGAGAGACATTTAGAGAAAATGTTAAACAAATAAAAAGATTGTCCTCATTAAATTAATTTTTTTTATTATTATTTAAAGAGAGACTATTTAAGGTGAAGAAAAAATTGTATTAATTTTCAGTGATATATTTTGAAAGGTTCAAAGGTTGCGGTTTGTATCCAAAAAAAGTTTAGATCACGACTAAATTTGGGGAAGAGGGGACTATAATAATGAAAATGCCTGCATCACAGAAAAAAAGACAGAACCAATTTTTTTTTTATTTGATTAAAATAAAAAGAATTTTTGTTTTATAACAATAAATAATACAAATATTTTATAAAAATAAAAATGCATATAAAATAGTTAAAAATGCAATCACCACTTACAGTCCAGCCTGGAGGACAAAAGCAGTCACCTGTCACGGGAGAACAGGTGCCACCATTTTGACAATCACATTTATTGGAGCAGGATTCACCATGTGTTCCTTCAGGGCAGGGATCGATACAGCTAAAAATACAAATATAAAAATTAAGTTTACAAATGATACAAATACAAAAACTAAGTTTACAAATGAAACAAATATAAAAATCAAGTTTACAAATGAATGACAAATAACGCATAACAAGAATCATAACTTAAAATAACATCTGAATTATCATAATATATTTCAAAAAGGATTCTAAACTGTGTATTAATGTTCTTACAGTGGTCCTCTGTACCCGGCAGCACAAATGCAAGCACCAGATATTGGATTGCAAGAGGCACCATTTTCACAGCGGCACTCTTGTTCACAGTGGTAACCATAATAATTCTCATCACAAGGTTGACTGCAATCTGATCCTTGCCAACCTTAAGATAAAAAAAATAAAAATAAAATGTAATGAAAAGTAAAAATTATAATCTACTTCTCCTATAATATGATTCTTACCAAACTCAACACAAATGCATAGTAGACATAAGTATAAATTTACAATTTAATAATATTTTCCTAAAAATAGAGGATATCAAACAAATAATTAATATAAATTAAATATAAATTAATTTCATAAGAGCTGCCTCTTATGAAAGCTTAGTTTGGATTATTTATTTGATTGATAAAGATTTTAATGATTTGATTAAATTATTTTGATTGATATTTGAAAGATAAAAATTTCAAGAATCGCAACCCAAAAGCACTCTCCCTCACAATTTAAAAATAAACAAGTAATTAACATATTTTAATTAAGTTTATGCTAATATGTTTCTTTAAAATCAAAGGAAATGAAAATATATAAACTCCACTATTACATTTGTGTTTGAAAATTTGCATTTACCTAAAGCTTAATCTTTTCAGCATACTGTATATTTCCAAATTTATTGCTCAATACCATACTCCTCATTTAAGAGACGATGGTGAATACAGTATGCATAAGTCATTCCTTGGCTTCATTCCAACATACATTGTTAAACTAAATTTTCAACTAAATATGATATATATGAATTCTTAACTCATGAAGCCAAAAAGAGTAAATAATAATAAAAAATACTTTAATGGTATGTGATACATTTTAACAAGTGACAAAATTGATGTGTCTATAAACCCTATTATTAATAATAGGGTTAAAAAAACAATAATTTATTGAAATTATTATACGTAGCGGTTTAAAATTATAATTGTTTTATCCTCTGTGCATCAGTTGCATGAAGAGACAATAACCCCAAGCTACCAGACAACCACTAAAGGACTATGGACTAATGACTAATTAGTACTATTTTTATTGTTAGATAAAAAAATTTAACTGTTAAATTATTAATCTGAGGATATGGAAATATTTTACAAAGAAGTTATTAATGTTTCCAATTCAATTTAATAATGAAGTTTTTGAGTATTCAAATACTTGAGGAAAAAAAAACCTATAAAATTTATAATTTATATTTACCTCAGAATAATATAATTTCTCCAATAAAAAACTAAATTTAGTTAGTTATAAAACTAAATTTAGTTAGTTATAAATATGTATCATTTCAGTTTTTTTTTAAAAAAATATTGTTTTTGCTTGTCTAGTTAATTTGTTCCACTTTGCAGAGGCTTCTAATTAAGATTTTTTTTAAGGTATTCACACACTTCCCTTGATATTGTTGATAATAACTTTAACCTCGATAACTTTAAAATAACTTGCAAAAAAAAGTTTTTTTCTTTCCTAGTGTTTTTCAATGAAAACGTTGTTCATAGCAGGAATAATTCCATAATACTTACACACCCATTATTAAATAAATAAATAAAGGACGGATATGAAAGGATGTTTTTATGAATTATTTAAATAAATAAAATAATTCATAAAAACATCCAAATAATTTAAGATTTCAACAAGATACAAAAAATTTTGCTATCTTCTAATTGGTAGGAAAATAACTAAAATATATAGATATTTTTTTTAATAAATATAATAGGATTACAGAATAATTTTGTACTGTGTAAAAAAATAGAAAATTTCCTGTAAATTAGGAAGAACATAGGATATACATAAAATTCAATTAGTCTGTGAATCAATAAAACTGACAAAACTTGATTAGTTACCTGGCTTGCAAGTACATGTTCCAGTGACGGGATCACACAAAGCTTTGTTTTCACAAATACAATCTCTTTCACATTGAGCTCCATATTTACCAGTTGGGCAGGCTGGAGAAAATTTAAACATAAAAAATTAAATAATACATCGTATAACTATTAATAATCAAATAATAAGCTGTTCATATAAAATGTATGTACCTGTAATTATCTATAAAAACAGAGTTTAAATGACATAATTCTTTAAAGTATATTAAACAAATTTTCATTTACAAAACTTGTATTAAAAAAATAATAAAGGAAAAAAAAACAAAACTCTAATAAGAGCATTTCATTCACCAGACCTCATGCAGAAAAAGAACTGTGTACACCATATTTTTCATGCAAAATGAAAATTGTTGCAAGCTTATTTTTAAAATATCCTTCGGAGAGGAAGACAAGATTTGCGTGCAGGACTCTTAAAATTAATTTTAAAAAATATTTGTCCAAAGAATACCTCTAAAGCAACCAATAATTTTGTGAGAAAAATATTAATGTTCAGATTAGTAAATAGCTTACCATGATACACTAAACAGCATGAAAAAAGAAAAGTGACATTAAGAACAATTATAGATGATGGTTTCAATTTCAAAAAAAAGTAATTACATATGTATAAAAAAAATACTTACACACATTGCAACTAGGGCCACCAAAACCTGGTTGGCACTCACACTCCTCTGGTCCAACACATATACCATGGATGCATGGGTTGGAGCAATAAGCTATAAAATGAATTTCAATTTACTGAAGTGGTATATAAAAGGATTAAATTTCACTTTTCAATAATCAGTGCAATAAATAGAATGAGGATAATTCTGATGGCATTGGGATGTTATAAAGAGGATATATGAGAACTAAATGATATAAGCTCGCATTATAAAAATTTAGGCAGATTCAACATATTTTAAGAAACATTCAAGGTACTAGGTATAAATAAGAGCTATAACGAAATTCAATTTATTTATTGTATAGAGGTAAGACAAATCAAATGTATCTTAAAATCACATTCGTCTTTTTCACTTGACGCTTAAATTAGTTTAACTTTATTTAATTTTAATTATTTTCAAAAATGACATAAAAGCAAATTTAAAAAAAAAATGATTATTTGTTAAGGTTTTAAAAGTATTTTAAATACAGTAGAAAAAATACATCTGAAATAATCTTTGTTTTTGAGATCAGATTTTCACAAACTAAAAACTGATTTTTATGGCTCATAGGATTAACCTCAAACATGCTAATTCATTATTGTTAATTATCAATTACGGAATTTCTGGCTCAAAATTATATATAAAAAAAAGAAAGGGCTAGACACTATCTAGAAAATATGGTCCCACTAATTAAGTCCAGATAGTGGTCGAAAGTTCGGGCCTTTTAATTTTAATTTTACGATTTTACTGAATCTCAAGAAATGATTGTGCAATTCAAAATATTCTTACACCTAATTACAGAGCTTGTTTAATCTAAGACAGATCAATGGAATAAAAATAAGTTTTAATAATGGTTGAAAAAATGTTAAAATTAAATTGTTAGGCATACAAATTTTTACACCATTTTAAATGACGAAATACAAAATTGGAGCCATACCTTTATAGTAGTTTCTGAATTATAAAATTTCAAAACAGTTGTATCGAATTTTTCTATTTAAGAATTATCTATAAAAAAAATTTTTTCTAAAAATTATTTAAAATTACCGAACTTAAAATTATGTAAAAATTCCAGTTAAATTTTTTTTAGTATATTTATTAAAATAATAAATAAAATTTTTTCATTAAAATAACTTCAATGAGAGTCATAAGTAGGTACAAGAGTTTTTTGAATTGTTCTATTAGTTCCGTAGATATGACTAAAAACATAATAAGTGAAGTTAGCATCAAGGGGCCCAACCTTTGGTCCTTTTTCCTGATTAAACTAATGTACCACATTTACCAGATTGCTACTACCAACATATTTTGATAGCAGTCGAAAATCTAAATGTTTATTTAGAGGAAGTACGTTTTTGTGTCTAATTCCGTAGCACAATTAACAGTTAGCACTAAAATAAGCATATTTGAGGTTAATCCTTTGAACCATGAAGATGGTCTAAAAACGTGAAAATGGAGTTATTCTGGGTGATATCTNGATTCAACATATTTTAAGAAACATTCAAGGTACTAGGTATAAATAAGAGCTATAACGAAATTCAATTTATTTATTGTATAGAGGTAAGACAAATCAAATGTATCTTAAAATCACATTCGTCTTTTTCACTTGACGCTTAAATTAGTTTAACTTTATTTAATTTTAATTATTTTCAAAAATGACATAAAAGCAAATTTAAAAAAAAAATGATTATTTGTTAAGGTTTTAAAAGTATTTTAAATACAGTAGAAAAAATACATCTGAAATAATCTTTGTTTTTGAGATCAGATTTTCACAAACTAAAAACTGATTTTTATGGCTCATAGGATTAACCTCAAACATGCTAATTCATTATTGTTAATTATCAATTACGAAATCGCAAGCTCAAAATTATATATAAAAAAAGAAGGGGGTAGACACTATCTAGAAAATATGGTCCCATTAATTAAGTCCAGAGAGTGGTTGAAAGTTTGGGCCTTTTAATTTTAATTTCACTTTTTATGTTTTTATTGCATCTCTGGAAATAATTGTGCAATTCAAAATATTCTTACACCTAATTATAGAGCTTGTTTAATCTAAGACAGATCAATGGAATAAATATAAGTTTTAATAATGGTTGAAAAAATGCTAAAATTTAATTGTAGGGGATACAATTCTTTAGACCATTTTAAAATACATAATTTTAAAGAACAAAATTTGAATCATATCATTAGAGTAGTTTCTGAATTGCTACTACCAACATATTTTGATAGCAGTCGAAAATCCAAATCCGTTGGAAAAAAAAAACTATGTTTCTTTAGAGGAAGTACGTTTTTGTGTCTAATTCCGTAGCTCAATTAACAGTTAGCACTAATAAGCATATTTGAGGTTAACCCTTTGAACCATGAAGATGGTCTAAAAACGTGAAAATGGAGTTATTCTGGGTGATATCTTTTCTTTCTTACTGCTCACTGAACTTTACTTAAAAAAGAACTCAAATGGCAATATTCACTCAGTGCAGAACGAAAGAAAAAAGGATCACGATGAGGGTGCTGCTGTGGGATTTTGAGAACCCACATGAAGAAAATTAACTACCTCATCAAAACAAATCAGAAACATAGAAAGGTAGGAATGACTTACGTATGCATCTTGATTCATCAGCTGTCAATACAAATCCTTTACAACAAGTATTGACTGTTCTAGTGTTTGTTTTAGGCTCTGTTTTATAACCAGTAGTATATGCTATCCTGTAATAATAAATAACAAAAATTTATGAGTCATATAAAGTGAATATTGGAAATCTGCTTTGATTTTAGCAGTAAATATTGTAGTTAAGGACATGCATTATTGAATTTCTATTTGTAGAACTCACTTTTTTTCTAGTATCATTTCTAAACTAATTTTGTTTCCTTTAATTTGCAAGTTCATAATAATTTTGAAATAATTAATTTACTTACCTACTATTTAAAATAGAAGGAGGGAAAAAAAGACAAACAAAATGCAGCAAAAAAAAAAAAAAAAAAAAATGCAAGATAGTATAATGACGGATAGAATTATTATAAAGGTTATGAATGTGGTTAAATCATAATTTCTACTGTTAAAATATAGTCTATTTATTAGTTTATTTTTATAGATGCCCTAAAGAATTCTTCAATCTACTTAAAAAACTAAGAATACCTTTATTAGATAAAGCTATCAAATGAATATGAACTTTATTTGACAATTTACTGGAATCAATTAAGCCGTTAATATGCACATTATTCAGTTAATCTGCAGTTAATTAGAGTAATCCCTATAAGTGCAAAATCAAGGGTTTTTCCGCAATTAACCCACATAAATGAGCGTATTAACAGTTTCTGTATCGTTAAAGTTCTTAAGTGTGTTTCCCTAAAATTCTATCTATTATTTGATTAGATTTATTCACTTAATTCTTTAGATGTCTATGTATATAAAAAAGAAAGTACGTTTCTCTGTCTGTCCTTTATAGACTCCATCTGATAGAGAGCGATAAAATTTGGCATACTGATAGTTCGAAGCACGGGGAATTAGAACATTCTACTATGACAAGTTCCAGAAGGATGAGAGAAAAAGGAAATGGGATTTTCGATAGGTTAAGAGTTAGTCAACGTTTTAAATTTAATTATAGACGATTCTATTCGTCAAATATTTTTAAGGTAATAGTGATATTTGCTAGTTATAGCTCCATTTGCTCAAATATTACCAAAGTAGATTGCAGATTATCTTGGTATGTTGTAGATTATCCAGATAAGGTTGGAAAAACTACATTATTCTTGTAGTTTACTACAACTGCTTTGTTACAAATGTAGTTGACTACAACTACTTTTTGTAAATTTAGTGACTACAAACTACTTTTGAAATGTAGAAACAATTTAACAAATTTTAGGAGACTAACTTTGCACCCTTGTTCTAAACTCTTTTGCACAAAAAATTGGCTTATTTTTTTGGCACATGAGGAATTATTAAAGTTTTTATTCGTGTTTACATGAGCTATTTTGTTGTTCTAAGCCATTGTTTTCCGAATTAATTCTTCTAAACTTCAACTTTTTATGCCTTTCTCGACAACGAATATTTAATCTAAAATATGTTAAGAAATAATCAAATATTTGGAGTTTCAAAGTTAAAATCTTTCATGCTCTTTTATTTCCTCTAAAAAATTAAGTACTTCGAAAATATGTTCCCCTTCCTTGAAATAACATTACTAGTTTCACGAGTGGGCATTCGCATGTGAAAGTGTGACCCAAGTCATTGCTTATCTATTTTTTGTAACGGCTGATTTAAATATTAGTTATACGTGATTTTTAATACGTAATTTCTGTTAACGTTCAGCTACAGCCATAGGGTCAATTTCATTCCATCCATTGACGGACCCACGAAAATTTGCATCCATCAAATTAGTTGCGTTACAACCATGTTTCTTTACTAAACTAACGTTAAAAAAAGTTTGTATCGCACAACTTACTACACTACTTTTTTAAAAAAAGTAACACACTACAAACTATGAAAAAAGTAGCGTTCTACAGTAGTTCCACTATTTGTACCTTGTGGGAAAGACCATTAGACAATGTCAACCTACATCTATCAAAAGGTACCTCAAAATTGAATCAAGTTAGCATGTCTTATATACAAGTGAATTGATGTTTAATGAATGTAGTGGTAGTTACGCCACAATACTCCCCCACCAGAATTTTATCAGGGAAAGAATTCCATGAACGGATACCACTAGTTGCTGTATTTATGACAGACCGTTAGAGCTGGATTAAGGTCACCGGGTTTTGAGCTTTAGCCATGAGAGCTGTAGTAAGTTCATGATTATACATGAGGACTATCCTGTGTTGCTATTAGCAGTCGCTGTGTGTAAATGAGACACTGAGAAGCATCAGCGTGAGGAGGACGACGACGCAGTCACAAATAGCAGGTCAACTTTTCAATAAGGACCATATATCGAAATAATCATGATCATATCGCGCCCGGGTCACCAATGTGGGGGAAGACCATTAGATTATGCCAATTTTCATTTCTCAAAAGATACCTCAAGATTGAATCAAGTTTGCAATGTCTTATATACTAGTGAATTGATGTTTAATAATTGTAGTAGTAGTTACACCACAGTGCGCTACTTCCGACCAGTGACCTCGGTAATTCGAGAAATTAAACAATTTTTAGGTACTTAACAGATCACTCAATCTGTGCATTAAATTAATCTGATTTCTATACTTAAGTAATAATATTTATAGATAAATTAATTCCAGAAATGCATAATTTGAAATCTTACCTATATCGTGAGCATCTCGGTGGGAATGATAAGCACCATGTGAATGAACGTATTTGATATGGTTTATTATATGAAACTCTAACTGTCGTTAAATATCTGCAAAAGAAATGAGGTAAATCAGTTTGTAATAGAGAGAAACATGTTAAAAATGGATATGAAATATGTTTTCATTGCTTACGTTTCCTGTTTTGCACAAACATTTGGCCCATCTTCCAAACATTGACTTAATGATAAAATGGAGAGGATGAATGTATACAGAACTACCCATTGGCGTAGCATCGTAAGAACTGGAAAAGAAAATTTTATTAAATCGAATTAAAATTTTTATTTTTTAACAGCCGACCCGATTTTGGGCTTACGTCTTTTAATATTCAACTCCGTAGCCTTGTAATAGTGAACCCAATCCAGAAGACAAGGAAACTCTTGGATCGAGTATTAAAAGAAAATTGCCTTCGTGGAGGATTTTTGATGGAAATAACCTGCATTTGCGTTACATGGAGAGAAAAACCACGAAAACCTATCACGGTTAGCCTAACGGCAAGTGGACTCTAACCCATGATCCGTCTACCACTGAAGATATTTCACTTCAGCACTGTGGTCAGTGCAAGGCGGCAATTCGTATCGACCAGCCATTGATGGAATTCGAACCCGGTTCACCTCATTGGAAGGCGAAAGCTCTATCCCCTGAGCCATCACGGCTCTAACGCTTTAAACATTGTTTAAAAAAAATCTAGGATAGAGCGTTCGCCTCCCAATGAGGTGAACCGGGTTCGCAATGGCTGGAACCCCAGCAATGGCTGGTCGATACGAATTCTTTACCCGGCTCACACCGGCTATAGTGCTAAAGAAAAATATCCTCAGTGGTAGATGGGTCATGATGGGGTAGAGTCCCCTTACCGTAAGGCTAACCGACGGAGGGTTTCGGGGTTTTCCTCTCCATGTAACAAAAATGCGGGTTAGTTCCATCAAAAAGTCCTCCACGAAGGCAAAATTTCTCCCAATGCTTGATCCAGGAGTTCCCTTGTCTTCTGGTTTGGGTGCAAAATTACAAGGCTGCGGAGTTGAACATTGGTAGCCGTACGCTCAAAATTGGTTGGGCTGTTCAACGACGGTTTTAAAATAAAATAAAAGCAGTTATAAATTGCGACTAAAGGTCGCTAAAATGGAAAATGTTAAGTAAGCATATTTTTAGTGGTTTCGGATCCCTTCTTGCGTAAGCAGCAAGACTACGCAAATAGTGAGATTTTTCTCATAAAACAAAAAATAATAATAAAAATAAAAATGTTATTTATCTCCAAATTCAGATATTTCTGAAATTCATAAGAAAATTTAAGCAAGAGAAAATTCAACTATAAAAGCAGGTTCTTAGTTATAGGAAAGCATTTGGAACCCGCCGTATGTATCCCNCCCCCCCCCCCGATCATAAAGAGTCGCTAAAAACAACTTTCAGACTTTTTTTTAACACTTAAGTAAATTTCTTTGAGTATTTGTATTATGCAGACAGTTTCAAGTCAGGACTAATCATTTAAATATTGCCATTTTTATCAAAACAAAATTTTATTTTAAAGTTGAGACGTTTTGTAAAGGTTACAGGAAATGTTACAACCCCGAAAGCTAACGTGCTCAGAACCCCAGGCTCTCAAAACCGACCTTTTATTAAAGGATAAGTTATTCACGATATCTTCACTTTCTTATTGCTGGTAAATATTTTTTTAAAAAATGACAAAAAAATTGCAACATGTAGACGACCGTTAAATTTTACAAATGCATATACATATGTATGTTACCGTGAATAATCGAAATCAAGAGAATGTCGACTTTCACCAGTGGATGTCAACAATTCCATAGTCGCGTTGGTGAATGTCCGAAATATTTGTTTTACCTGATTTAATATTAATTTATTCCTTTATATTATTATATTTATTCGATATTTTAATATCTGCTGAGGTTAGATTAGGGGAAACATTATTCGGAGTACCGGTTAAATACATACTGGGCAGTCAGTGCCGTTCCTGGCGGGTATGCAGCGAATGCCCCGCACGCAGGCGCCCAATTTAAGGGGCGCCAAATTGAACTATTCGAAAAAAAATAATTATAGCAAATTATTAAGAATCAAATTATTAAAAATCAAATTATAGCAAAGCTATAAACTTTGATTACAGGAAGAAACTGTAAACTAATATAAGAAGTAACTTCTACACTGGAATTTACATGCAAAAAATCTGTTGTCTGTGTTATGTTCTAAAACTACCTTGTTATTTGATAATTAGGTACTTGGGTATTAGACAGATCTTGCACATTTTCAAGTTAACGGATTTGTTTGCGTTGAGCGCCGTTTGAGAGTTTTAACTCAATTCACTCAGTTGAGTGAATTGAGTTATATTAGATTTTTTGTTAATTTCCGAATGGACGTGTTTTATTTATGACCTATATTGTACGTTAATAGTCTATTTTATTTGATGTCGAAAATAAATTTTTTGTCATATTTTTTCGTTGTTTTATTTTATTACGCCCATTTTCATAATTAAACACTTACACTAAAGTGACTTTAGTCTATGAGGAAACTATTTAGTTTAAACCTCAAACTAAAAATGATTATGAAAATTGGCCTTATCATCAAAATTTAAGCATAGTATATAGGGGCGCACAAAATTATTCTTGCACGCAGGCGTTCGCCACGCCAGGAACGGCACTGTGGGCAGTGGCACTTGATCTCAAAGAACATCAGTGTAGGGTATACCGGGCAAATGTATACTGGGCAGTGGCACTTAACAAGACCCAGTATACATTTCGAACATTTACCAAAGCGACTACGTGATTGTCAACAAATTGATTGTCAACGTGATTGCCCTGTGGAGGTCAACAACCACCAATTTCGGTAATTTACAGTTAATTACATCTTTGTCGTTCAGTGAACACAATATTTTCAAGATTGTATTAATCAATGCCTTTTGAAGGGATGGTTGAAATAAGGACAATTGTCACAGGACCCGGGATTGCTAAGGACCCAGTGGAAATTGCTTAGAGAAAGTGAAAGTTCAAACAAAAAGTTCCTTAAAAAATTATAGAGTATTTCCCTCGTAATAAAATATTCTGCTCGTAAAAAGTTGTATTTTAACCTGCAGTCTTCTCCGCATAGCAAAACCGGGTTTTCCATGTTATTAGAGACAGGGTGCGTAGTCAAATCTTTCAACAAAAAATAAGCACCTTTTAAGTACTTTTTAAGAACTCAAAGATATTTTTAAGCAATTGAAAGAATGCAAAATGGTTTTCAAAGACTTTACACGATTATGATACAACAAATAGTTTCTGACAAAGAACTCTTTTCTTGATTGATTACATTAGCCACCATAAAAAAAATCGAGAGATTTTTCGGTTTGATTGCAGAGGGTGGAAAATGAAGCCTGAACTGGAGAATATCTTGCAAACTGCAGCAGAGTTGCACATGAGAGTGCTAGAATCTCACCAAACTCGGCTCAGTAGACGCACATGCGAACTCAAATATTTCATCAAACATGTAAAATGATTAGGGGCGTTTTCATACGCTATGGACCGATGATAGTTCTGAAATGGAGTGTGGTTGAATGAACTGTGAAAACGGCGAATAGAACAATGTGAAAAGCACGCTCTTGAATAATATGTTCGAAAATCGACATGATAAAGAAAAAAAAATCTCAGTTTCGAAAAGGGAAAATAAAGCACTTTCTAAAAACACCTAATAAAAAAAGCACCTTTAAGGGCTTTTAAAAAAAGAACATCGAAAATAAGCACCTTTAAGTACTTTTTAAAAACGCTACGCACCATGAGAGAGGGAAATAGTGAAAAGGGGAGAAACAAAAACAAAAAAAAAAAAAAAAAAAAAAAAAAAAAAAAAAAAAAAAAAAAAAATCGAATTTTCACATAAAATTTAAAATTTAACTTTTTGTATTTCGAGTAGCAATAAATTTCCTTTCACTTCCCACGTTTAGAACAAAATCATTTCAGCTTTGCTATTCCGCTCAATAAAAAAACGTAGTCGCACTGACCCCTTTAGATGCTCCAACCTTGATTTTGACTGGTATCAGGTATTTATTTCCGTTGCCCCACTTAACTTATCGTCTGGAAGTAATAACACTCAATATCGAACTTGACATCGGAATTGTTTATAAATTATTCCAACCAACTCCGTCCACTTCCAATTGGGAAGTATTTTTAGGAACTTTACCGATTTTTACCTTTTTTTTTCCGACTTAAGAAATAGAAAGCATTTTTGCAAAGAAGCACTCTTATTTATCGACTACATTCAGTGAAGAGCATTCTTTGTGATTAAAGGCGCCATTGAAAGAAGAACTATTTGGAGAAACGAGAGAGGCCCATTACTGCCAGTAGTGGTTGTTATTCATTTAGCCGACGCTTAAGTTTATGACGATGTGTTAACGTTCTCTCAGTGGCGTTTAAAGTAGGAGGAAGAGAATATTGCTGTTAAAGGTGTTACGGACAAGATAAAAAAGAAAGAAAGCAGTACAAAAAGGTGAAACCATTGAAAAGGTTAATTATGAAAAAGTAGGAGAAAAAATGAAAGCAGAAAATCGTGCCAGTAATAAAAAGAAATGGAGGAAAAAATAGTTCATATTGGATCTTTTAACAAAGTACTGCTAAATATTTTCAAACATCATTGATTTTGGTCAAAACTATTTTTTATGCTTAACTTTTTAACTTATTTTATAATTTATAGAGGTTGGGATTTTTTTTAAGTCTGATTTCCCCAATATTAAAAATCATTCGTGATTTTTTGTAAAAAAAATATTGATTTAAATGAAAAAAAAAAACATTTATAGAGTATAATTTATAAATAAATACTTAAGTTTGTGGTATTTTTTTAAAGTCTCATTTCATTGATATTAAAGGTTTTATTTATTGAAATCATGGGATCAATAAATATGCAGTTGGAGTATGTAAATAATAAAGACAGACTTGTTCTGCTAAGAGAAGTTTTGAATAATTGAGTTTTTGATCAAAATTTATTCATTTGATATTTGAGAATTTAGGTCTTGGCATCTGCAAATCCACGAGAGTGTTTAGCTTGTGAGTGATTAGTTTGTATTAATTACATAAATATTCTAACTGTTAAATTCAGTAATTAACTCATAATATTGTTTTTAAAAAACATAGGGTATTATTAATGCATTTTATCAGACATTTGATTCGTAAAATGCAACAAAAAATAATAAAACAAAATAAATTAAATAAAAAAAACTCATATTTAAAAAAAAATCTATTAAATTTTTAAAAAATCTTATTCTTTTTA